CTTGCAGGTCTGCTTTTGTTTTAGAAGCTACTACTGATTTGGAAAAGGCTGAGCAGGCTTCTGATCTTGGGGGTGAGGGGGTTGAGGGGACGAAAGCTGGAGGCCTATGCTTTAGTCTGGAATCCTGCAGAGCACCTGGGAGTTAGAGGTGAATGGGAAACAACCTGCCCTTTGTGGGATGGCAGCCCATTACTAAGCTACTACAAATCCTAAAGTTAGATAAAGATGATCCCAGATTGTCAGAAACTGTCTAACATAACCTTGGAACTTTCAACTTTTTTATTTCCTTAGGTTTGGATGTCACTAAAAAATATACATGTGCAATCTTTTTCTTTAATTTGACTTGACAGTTTTTACCCACTTACAGGCAATGTAGTTATTAATATATTTGGATTTATTTCTACCATCTTCATTTGTCCTAGTTTCCTTTGTTCTTTTCTCTTTCCTATGTTTTTTAGAATTATTTTTTCTCTTTACTAATTTGGAAGTTATAACCTCTGTTTCTACTCTCTTAATGATTACACTAGAAAATAATTTTTAAAGAATTATTTAATTTCATTTATTATTGTTACTATTAATTTTACTATATGACATGAATACTCATCAGAGAGAAATAGATAGAGAAAGAGAGAAAGAGAAACAGATATAGAGAAAAAAGTGAGAAAGCAAGCTGCCAGGTGTGGAACTTAATCACGCAGTCGACCAGGCGGGAGTCCACAGCATCTTAACCATCTCACCACTTGGTGGCCCAACACTAGAAATTTTTAACATATATTTTTAACTTAATCAGAGCTGAAAGTTTAACAGTATTTTAATTCTTTTCCTGAACAACTAAGGATCATAAACACTTGAATTACAATTATCTGCCCTTCCAATTTATATGCTATTGTTGTCATGCTATTTAATTCTAGTCTCTATTTTCAATCCCACAAAATATTATTTTACAGAATGAGTTTATTTATATATGTATACAAATATTTAACAATTTCTTTGCTCTTTTCTTCTTGCGTTTCGGACATTCTTTTAGCATATCCTTCTACTGCCTGATTATATCCTTTAAAATTTCTGGTAGTGAGGTCTAATATTGTCAATTTTGTTACTGTTTTATACTTTTGTTTTTCAGAAGGATTCTTAATGTTTTACTTTATTCTATGGGGACCAGCAGTTAGTGTAATGGCTATGTTGCTGAACTCCCATGTAGTCAACTGCGAATCAAATCCCAGACCCGGTGGCTTAAACTCACGCTGGGGTGTGTGTGCATGCGTGCCCAAGATCCCGAGAGGAGAATGGAGGAGAGGGGACTGCGGCGTGGCCATCCCCCCTGGGGGGGTGATTTCTCACTTTCTGATTTGCTGTCTCTCTCTGTCTCTCTGGTGAGCACACGCGCCTTGTAGCCAAAACCTCTCCAAAATCACAAAAAAATGTTTATTCTATGAATGAGAGAGGAGGGGGGACTTCAATAGAGTCCTGATACTGCAATCCACTCCCACCTTTAGACAGCCCAGGATGATGGGCACGAGTGTGCCTGGAACACTCAGAGAGGTCTCCAGATGCAAAATGGCAACCTTTCCATGTGCCCTCTCGGGATCTTGAGCCCATACACACACACGTCCGACGTGAGTTTAAGCCACTGGGTCTGGGACTCGAATCACAGTCGACTACATGGGAGTCCAGCGACATAGCCATTATGTCAACTGTTGGTCCCAATTTTCTATTATTTTTAATTTTTGCCATTCAAATTATTTTCTTAGGAATTCTTTGTCTGGCCTTTTGAGTTCAACTTAACTCATTTAGTTTTAGTCTTCCTTGTTACTTTAAAAAGGCATTATAAATGGATCACTTAAGTAGTATCCTACAAATTTTGACAAATTCTTTGTCATGTGCCTCAAAATATTTTATAATTTCCATTGTGCTTTTCTCTTCAACATGTGAGTTATTTAGGAAAACGTTTTTAAAAGTTCTTGAGCACATTAAAAAAACTTTTTAATGGTGATTTTTATTAGACTTGCTTTGAGAATGGACAATGTGTCTGTGCATATATTCTCTCAAAATGGTTGAAACTTCCTTTGTGACTTAACATGTGGTCAATTTTTGCAAATGTTCCATATATACTTGAAAGAAATATAAGTTTTCTATTCTCTGGCACAGTATTCTTTTGAACGACCAGATAAAGTTTAAATTTGATTTTCAAAGCTTCTGCATTCTTACTATTGTTTTTGTCTGTTTGATCTATCAGTTTGTGGTAGAGTTGGTTTTAAGTCTCCCACTATGGCTATAGACTTGTTGAATTTTCCTTTACATTTTCTAAAGACAAAACAAAAAATGAGTCATGACTTTTCCAATGATCTAATACATAACAATCATGGCTACACTGTTAGATACTTAGCTCAAAATAGGTTTATTATCTTGACCATTTTTGTTACATTATTACTAGTGTTTAAAATCAATACTAATACCTTTTTTCTTACATTCTGCTTTTTCATGTTAATGCTACTTTTAAACCATTTTTGGGGGGTGGAGGGAAGGTGGCTTGTTAGACCTCTATCTACTTCTTCATCTTTTAGTTTCCTCTTAGTGTTGTTTAGGTTTGTCTCCTGTAAGCAGCATATGGCTGAATTTTCCACCTATTTAGTCTGTTTAGTTTCTATATGCTATGGTGAATATTAATTATTTAGATTTATTTTGAGTGTATTGCTTTGCATTTTCTAAATGTAATATTTTTCTTTGTTTCGTTGTCCCTGATCTCTCTTTC